CACAGCACAGTACAGGGGGCCAGACAAAACAATACTGGATGGCACAATATTGGGTTCTGTAGCGGTTTTGCTCATGCAGAGTAGCTCAGGAAAGCTTCTGGATTGTATCTGGCGCACTGATCCCCACCCACCTTCCTCTCTTGTCCTTCCCCAGTGATGTCACACACAGGTACCTAGAACAGACAGGAGGAGAGGGACGGCTGAGATTGGCGCAGGACAGTGATGCAGGTTGTTTCCCTCTACAGCTTTGCAGCTCTGCGGCTCTGCAGCTTGACTGTCAGCTATGTGGGGATGCGATCTATCCATCTTCTGCTTGTGGTAGACAAGCAGATCATGGCGGAACCCTTGGGGACCTCTTACAGAACCCCAGTTGTAAAACACTACTCTAGATATATCTCACCATTTTACACAGAGGAGGAAAAGAAAAAATAATTTACTGACCAGACTATAGGTAAACATTATGCTGTGATGGTGGTAGGGGCGGACTGACAACTCATGGGGCCCCCGGGCAATAGGGGATCATGGGGCCCCTGTGTCTTTGTGCACACTCAAAGCACACCAAAAAAAGCCTATAAAAAGGTATCGGGGCATTTCATGGGGCCCCCTACTGACTGAGTGCTCAAATGGTCAGTCCGCCCCTGGATGGTGAAGAATGTTAATAGGATTTTTTAAAAGTTATAAAGATAAACTAATTTGTCAAATTTACCATGTTACCTTTCAATTAAGGTCTGAGAGGAGGACAGAAACTATTACCTACTGTATCCCAACAATAACCCAACGGTAGGAGGTACAAAATGGAGCCCACAATCAAACTAAACTGGAGCCTTTCACCTGCAATGCCACCTAGTGTCAGAAATGCAGATTTCTCTTGTCTGATAACTGAAGTGTTACTTGATTGTATTCCAGGATTTACTTTTCTTCAGCTGTGAGAACTTTACATAAAGTGTCAAAAATATTTCATTAAGGTCTTCATATTATATAGTTTGTATACCACGTCATAGATATATTATTTAAATTTTAAATGTTTCCATTTTTTTCTTCCCTTCTCTAGTCCTGATTGGTATTTGAAGGACCCCACTGCTCTAATGCAGAAGTGCTAACCACTAAGCCTCTGTGTTTCTAAAGACAAACCTCAATTCATCACATATTTTCACTTTTGTCTCCCTAGCTTTTAGTGGGTAGGGAATATATGCATACACTCATCAATGTTTGCACACTTGTGGTAAGTAATCTGCATTGCTCAGCAATCTATTATTGAATACACTGTGTTGTGTAATTAAAATAAGCACAGTATGACGAGAGAAAATGATGATGGTGTGGAAGTACAATGAGTGCTAGGTATCTTGTGAGTCTCATTGTGCGTCTCTAGACTCAAACAATAAACTGCTAATGATACATTTAATTTGTTACTAAGGAAGTACTCAGCAGAAGAATGTAATAATGATGAACGGCAGCTGACACTTCACTTTATGAGGAAGTTATGAAATCTTTAGCGCATATTAGCGAGTATGACACACTCATGGTTGTTTGTGCAGGTTGCTGTAAAACATAGCAACCAATCAGATTTTCTTATTTACTGCTCTGGCAGCTGAAAACTGATGGAAGGTGAAGTCCTACAGGGACCATACATGCAATGTAAAGGAAGGTCATAGATTTGATATTTATACTGCTTTTTAAACTTCAAAATTACAAAATAAAATTTCTTATGGTACTTAGGTACCTTTCACATGAGTGGTCCGATTGGGGCTGCCTGGCCGTTTTTCAGGCAGACCTGACTGGACCCTTCAGTTTCTTCTTGACTTGTGCCTGTTTACACCCACCTACCTCCAATCCAATCCTATCTAGAAAAAACATATGGAAGGGGATCTGTTTGCCTCCATCTGGGCAGATTAGATCAGAGGGCAGAGCGGGGTCTCTGTCCATGTCCATGTCCACTCTGCATAAGTGGAGACGACATGGATCTGTCAAACCTCCCGTTTCACTCTGCTTAAGTGGGGGGATCAACGGACAGATCCCCCACTGAGCAAACAGAGTCTGTCCCATTTGAAAGGGGCCTTAGGGGCTTCCAGTGCTGACCTCTCCTGAAAATTCTAGTTGTCCGTTTGTCATGCTGACCCTCTGACTTCAATATTTTGGGTCACTGACAGAGAAAAAAATTATGTAGATTTCTGATTTACTTTTGCCTTTCCAGATCTGTATACTTATTCCTTGTCAGTGACAATTTTGAGGCTAGTAGATCAAAATGCTTTCCAGGCAGTTACTGGTCCTCTTTACCCCTGGGCAGAAGAAGTCTTCTGCCTGACATACCCACCAGTCGGTGACAGACTACGGAAGTCTTACCATCACTGTAGGAACTCACTGTATTTGCAAGTCTTAAAAGAAATTAACTGCTAGTTGACAGATACTTGTTCTTTAAATGTAATAATTAAATTATGTAAATAATACAATGGTGTATTGGTCTTTGACCATCTCTTGTTGCAAGGCTGCAGCCTTTGACAGCTTTTGATAGAACTATGTTCAATGAATATTATGTACTGCCCCTTGGTGATATCAAGGGGTCACACTTGAGGCCTCTATATGAAAAAAAAATTGCCCAATACTTTTTTAACAACAAAGGGCAATTTTTCAACACAAGAACAAGCCTTGGCTTGTTGAATTAGATGCTCCATTATGTAAATTATTTTGAAAGTTAGATAGTTGAAAGGATATTTTTTTACCCTCAGGAACCATTTACAACACATTGTACTGTTGAAAATGCATTTCACCAAAGTCGCAAATTTAAATGAAATGAAATAAAATTTTTGGTATTTCCATGAAGAGAAAACCCTTGATTGTATTAATCCCTACTCTTTAGAAATAGCTATACAGACTATAATTGCAAAACAGAATAACTCTCAAAGAGTCATCATTACTTTCCACCTATGATTATAGCTGTAACTGTCTATCCAATGTATACACATTTTATCCATTTTATTTTTCTGAACTTATATTACAAAGTAGGAGCCTTTCTGGTGGCATGGCAAGTAAGCATGTGTGGCTCATATTGAAATTAAATGTTCTACAGCTCTATGTCTGTCAGTGAGAGTCATGTTCCAAATTCAACTTATACATTGTTATTATTACTGATACCTGTCAATGATGTCATTGGTTGTCCCTTACGCCCAGCTCTATAATTCCCAGACAGTGAGTGAAAGGTGTAATGGAACATGCCAAGGTATTAATGTAGGATTCAGTACTTTGCCCTTAGACATACAACTCACCATTAGATTTAAAAAGGGTGTCAATTTTATTGTTAAATTGGAACTTTTTTTCCAGAATTAAATATATATATATATTTTAAATATTTGACTACTTGCTTAGAAGGCACTTCTACACCCTTCCTGCCCAGACCAATTTTCAGCTTTCAGCGCTCTCATAATTTGAATGACAATTGCGTGGTCATGCAACACTGTACCCAAACTAAATTTTTATAATTTGTTTGAGACAGAGCTTTCTTTTGGTGTTATTTAATCACCACTGGGGTTTTTATTTTTTGCTAAACAAAATGTTTGAAAAAAAAAAAGAAGTTTTGCTTAGTTTCTGTTATAACAATTTGTAAATAAGTAATTTTTCTCCTTCACCAATGGGCAGTGATAGGCTGCATTGATGGACTCTGATGAGGAGTCACTGATGGGCCCTTTAAGCTACAACTCGCTCAAGTGTGAATGCAGCCTCAGGGGGTGCACTACATAATAAAGTATATTTATAGCCAAATTTTATGTAGAGAATGAGTAAAACACTTGCTGGATTATTTATTTATTTATTGCTGCCTATGTCAAGCTGGGGGGATTGCCCTTCAGTTCCAGTCCCAGATAACCAACAGAAAGTGAGAAAAAAATATCTTTAAACTAAGGGGAATCTTCCTCTTAGGCATTTTTCACTTATACAGGTTCCCTCATTGGAAGATTTGGTCTGTCTCTTGTTTTGGTGGCTATAACATTTTGTATTTCCCATCGCTTTTTGTCTCGCCACCAGGACAAATAAAGGGAGTGAACCTCTAACAGGAGACGCATAAAAATGAAACTGAGATTAAAAACTTGTAAAGAGTTCTAATCCTTTCCTGCGTTACCCATAATTTAAAAAAATAAAGTTTTGTCTATACATACACTTTAACATCTTAAAGCATATTTGATACTTTAGATATTGGATGTACATACACTTTAAGGACTATCTATAGGTTTGTTGAGAAAAAAAACTATTCTGTTGACATAAACTATATGTATTGCAAATCTTTTAACAAATCACTTTGCAGATTTATACCTTTCTTTCTTCTGAAGAAATTGATACATGTTTCACCATGTAATAAATTCAAAGCTGGAAGGATCTTCCATCATTATAACCACATGATACCTTTAGAAGTTACCCAGCCTTCTTCAGCAAAGATAAAACTCCTTTTTCAGGGGGTCTCTGGGCAGACATCTGAGAAAAGCAGCGGGGAGATCACCCAAGCAGGAAATGGGATTGCTGATAGCATTCTGTTTCCTGACAAATGACTTAACAAATGACTTAAGCATAGCAGATCATCCACAAGGCAATCTACACAGGGACCTATTGCCCTATGGATGTCTGTGGAACTCAGCTACAACCTTCATGCTCCTGCAGTAAACCAGGGGGACAACACAATAACTCTAAGTTGCGGTTAGGCCCATTACTTCAAAAGAGGATTCACTCATAAGCAGTTGATACCTGATGAGGTGGGCCTTGCCAGTACAGACAATGCAAAAAGGGCATCTGTCTTGTGCCTATTGCAGTCATTATCACTGGCAAAGGGATGGGGAAAGTTTCAAGGCCTTTATCATGCCTAAATCCATGTCTATACTTCAGGGGGCCTGTTTTCTGTCCCTTAGACTTTAAGAGGGCTGGACTGAGTCCAATGGGAGTAGAAAATGTCTCAGATGTGTTGGGGAGTAACAGTAGGAGAAATAGTGCCTCATCATTGTTGTCAGTGGGAGGAAAGGTACCCAATAGTCAGGGGCGGACTGACAACTCATGGGCCCCCGGGTAATAGGGGATCATGGGGCCCCTGTGTCCTTGCCCAAACTCAAAAAAGCCTATAAAAAAGGTACCAGGGGCATCTCATGGGGCCCCCTACTGACCCCGGGCCCTCGGGCAGTACCCGAGTTTCCAAATGGTCAGTCCGCCCCTGCCAATAGTTTATATTATGGGGAGGAATTACCCTCCATTGTGGGTGTCAGTGAAAGGAATGATACCTCATTGCTGGTGTCAGTGGGAGGAATAGGGAGGAATAGGAATAGTTCCTGTGGTAGGAACTGTATCCCAGGGGCCGCAGTTTGGGGACAACTGCTGTAGGGAATGCCTCCAGTTTGCCATATTTAAAAAAAGCAACAGTTGAATTTTTTTGTCAATTTCAGAAAATGAATATGTCTGCAGATGAAATGGAAAGCTATGGTTTCATAGGATAATTATAAGAGGGCCAGGGGCGGACTGACCATTTGGAAACTCAGGCACTGCCCGAGGGCCCAGCGTCAGTAGGGGGCCCCATGAGATGCCCCGGTACCTTTTTCATAGGCTTTTTTGAGTTTGGGCAAGGACACAGGGGCCCCATGATTCCCTAATGCCTGGGGGCCCCATGAGTTGTCAGTCCGCCCCTGAAGAGGGCCTGTGTAGCAATTATATGCTGTATATGTTTTTCAATTAAAGCTTTCCTTTAAAATCTCCCATTGGGGACACAGACTGTAATATCAGTCTAATAGCGGTTCTAACCTTTCTCCATTCTAAAGAATAATAATATTAATAATAAACTCCACTATTATTAATTATCTTTCTCATCTATTAGCTAGCTGCGTTTAGTAAAGCAAGTAGCACGCGTCTGATTAAAGAGCAGGAGAAAGAGAGGATTAGGGTAGACGTATAACCAAAATTCCACAATGATCAGCCTTTATTGGTAGGATAAAATAAAGCCTTTATTTTAATCCCTATAATCATCAATCAAGATGCAAATAAAAGTGCTGTGTATGGATGCATAACCCTATTATGTGCATTTGGATTGATGTTTTTATGGATTAAATCTGAATTCCAAATATGAATAATTTTGCAGAGTTACATTGGCCCAGCTTGGACCACTGTAATTATACATGATCTACACCTGAGGAATCTCCTTTATGTAGAGCAACAATTCTTTTTTTTCAGATCCTCAAAAGAATTATTTGCCATGAGGTGCCATGTTAAACTTCCAGTGACCAGTATGAGAGAGTGAGAGTGATAACACCAAATTTAACACACCTGCCCCCATTCACATCTGAGGCCTTGTAACACTAATGAGTCACATGACACCAGGGAGGGAAAATTACTAATTGGGCCCATTTTGGACATTATCACTTAGGGGGGTGTACTCACTTTTGTTGCCAGCGGTTTAGTCATTAATGGCTGTGTGTTGAGTTATTTTGAGGGGACAGCAAATTTACACTGTTATACAAGCTGTACACTCATTACTTTACATTGTAGCAAAGTGTCATTTCTTCAGTGTTGTCACATGAAAAGATAGAATAAAATATTTACAAAAATGTGAGGGGTGTGCTCACTTCTGTGAGATACTGTATAGATTGTGAGTGACGTCAATGCCCCAAGTTCTCTGTACGAAGTTCTCTCACTTGATAGTTTTTATCAGTATAAAAGATAAATATGCGTGCCCCACCTACACTCACAGACAGAGAATAAACCTATATTTGTAAAAATATTTTAAGAAAGTGATGAAAGGTATATTAATTTTGCTTTACTTATTTTTATCAGTCAATGCCAAATGTAGAAACTCTGGCGTCTATGGACCAGTGCATTGCCAGTAATCGGATATCACATCAACAGAATGAAACACTCCAAAAATCTATATATTATAATATACACTCACTGGCCACTTTATGAGATACACCTTGCTAGTGCCAAGAAAATATCCTCCACACCATTACACCACCAGCACCAGCCTGAACCGTTGAACAAGAGATGGTATTCTTCATACCTTGGATGTAACGAGTGGTTATTTGAGTTACTGTTGCCTTTCTATTATCTTGAAGCATTCTTCCCATTCTCCTCTGACCTCTGACATCAACAAGGCATTTTTGTCCATACAACTGCAGCTCACTGGATATTTCTCTTTTTCGGACCATTCTCTGTAAACCCTAGAGATGGTTGTGCGTGAAAATCCCAGTAGTAGCAGTTTTTGAAATACTTAGATCAGCTGTCTGGCACCAACAACCATGCCACATTTAAAGTTACTTAAATCCGCTTTCTTCCCCATTCTGATACTCGGTTTGAACTTCAGAAAGTTGTTTTCACCACATCTAAATGCCGAAATGCCTTGAGTTTCTGCCATGTGATTGGCTGATTAGCAATTTGTCTTACCAAGCAATTGAAAAGGTGTACCGAATAATGTGGTTGGTAAGTGTAGATACAATCAATACCATTCCTGTGTTGGCCCTCCTATTGTTCCTCTCTGTACACTGTTCATCTAGAACATTTTGTTTCCTGAAATATTTTGTTCTTGGTAAGGATCATGTCCAGAAATCCCTGCAGTAGGTTGAGGATCTAAGCTAGTAATTGTTCAGACCTTTGGCCCTGATCTAAGTCTTATGTTTGAATGATGACTTTAGCTAAACCCTGCCAGAGAGAAGATTCCCAGAATATCTCTCTTATTCTTCATTTCTGTCAATTAATACAGAAGAGTGTGTGTTTAATACTCCAGTCACATGAGTCACTGGTTTCTGTTGCAAAACTAAAGAAGAAAGAATGGGCAATACTCCCCCGTGAGAGGTCTGGTCCAAACCTATGATTTGGATATACGTAGAAGCCAGTTTCATTTGGAAATCGTGTCTTGTAGGTTGTTTGAAAATAAAATTGAAAACATTGTAAAAAAAAAAAAAAAGATTAATATTATTCCTCTTTGTTTATTGCTTTTTACTTTAAATCACCTATAAGCACTATTTTTCTATCTTATACCTACAGTGGGGCAAAAAAGTATTTAGTCAGCCACCAATTGTGCATGTTCTCCCACTTAAAAAGATGAGAGAGGCCTGTAATTGGCATCATAGGTAGACCTCAACTATGAGACAAAATGAGAAACAAAATCCAGACAATCACATTGGCTGATTTGGAAAGAATTTATTTGCAAATTATGGTGGAAAATAAGTATTTGGTCACCTACAAACAAGCAAGATTTCTGGCTCTCACAGACCTGTACCTTCTTCTTTAAGAGGCTCCTCTGTCCTGCACTCATTACCTGTATCAATGGCACCTGTTTGAACTTGTTATCAGTATAAAAGACACCTGTCCACAACCTCAAACAGTCACACTCCAAACTCCACTATGGTGAAGACCAAAGAGCTGTCGAAGGATACCAGAAACAAAATTGTAGACCTGCACCAGGCTGGGAAGACTGAATCTGCAATAGGCAAGCAGCTTGGTGTGAACAAATCAACTGTGGGAGCAATAATTAGAAAATGGAAGACATACAAGACCACTGATAATCTCCCTCGATCTGGGGCTCCACGCAAGATCTCACCCCGTGGGGTCAAAATGATCACAAGAACGGTGAGCAAAAATCCCAGGATCACACGGGGGGACCTAGTGAATGACCTGCAGAGAGCTGAGACCAACGTAACAAAGGCTACCATCAGTAACACACTACGCCGCCAGGGACTCAGATCCTGCAGTGCCAGACGTGTCCCCCTGCTTAAGCCAGTACATGTCCGGGCCCGTCTGAAGTTTGCTAGAGAGCATTTGGATGATCCAGAAGAGGATTGGGAGAATGTCATATGGTCAGATAAAACCAAAATAGAACTGTTTGGTAGAAATACAACTCGTCGTGTTTGGAGGAGAGAGAATGCTGAGTTGCATCCAAAGAACACCATACCTACTGTGAAGCATGGGGGTGGCAACATTATGCTTTGGGGCTGTTTCTCCGCAAAGGGACCAGGGCGACTGATCCATGTACAGGACAGAATGAATGGGGCCATGTATCGTGAGATTTTGAGTGCAAACCTCCTTCCATCAGCAAGGGCATTGAAGATGAAATGTGGCTGGGTCTTCCAACATGACAATGATCCCAAACATACCGCCCGGGCACTGAAGGAGTGGCTTCGTAAGAAGCATTTCAAGGTCCTGGAGTGGCCTAGCCAGTCTCCAGATCTCAACCCCATAGAAAACCTTTGGAGGAAGTTGAAAGTCCGTGTTGCCCAGCGACAGCCCCAAAACATCACTGCTCTAGAGGAGATCTGCATGGAGGAATGGGCCAACATACCAGCAACAGTGTGTGCCAACCTTGTGAAGACTTACAGGAAACGTCTGACCTCTGTCATTGCCAACAAAGGATATATAAAAAAGCACTGATATGAACTTTTGATATTGACCAAATACTTATTTTCCACCATAATTTGCAAATACATTCTTTCCAAATCAGCCAATGTGGTTGTCTGGATTTTTTTTCTCCTTTTGTCTCTCATAGTTGAGGTCTACCTATGATGCCAATTACAGGCCTCTCTCATCTTTGTTAAGTGGGAGAACTTGCACAATTGGCGGCTGACTAAATACTTTTTTGCCCCACTGTACCTATAACTGCCAATTTAGCACATTACTGATTTTGAGGTGAATGTAAAAAATTACAAACTGCTCAATAGTATTTGATATCGATTATGCAAAAATGAATGAAAAAAAAAAATACATTAAAAAAGTCTATCTGAACAAGTCCTAGAAATTGTTCTGTAAAGTCTGTACAGGCAGCAGCAGGGTTTTTATTCTCAGAGAATAGGTGTAGGAACTCCCCCCTTCTGAGTCCCCCATTGCCTCCCCCCCCTTCTGAGCATCGTCCCCTGGTTCCGCCCCCTACCCACCTCCCAGTACTGCCCCTTTTAGAGAATACATAGCCAAGTATCATTTTGTGGTGCTAAATAATTTGTATGGAATTTGTTAATGATAACCAGAAAAAAACAGTAAAATAGATCCCCTGCAGCCAGCAACAATAATCCACCAGCAACAATAGATCCCCCACACAACAATAGACTACCCCAGCAACAATGGACCCCACCGCAGCAACAATAGTTCCCCACAGAAAACATAGACCACACTCCAGCAACAATAAATCCCACCACAGCAACAATATATTCCTCGCTCAACAATAGACCTCTCACACAGCAGCAA